ATAGTCAAAACAGTCTTGATGAACAAGCATAAAGCTGGAGGCATCCTATTTCCTGATTTCAAACTATATTACAAAGCTATAGTAATCAAAACAGCATAGTACTGGTATAAAAACAGACACATAGATCAATGGAACAGAACAGAGTTCAACAATAAACCCATGTGTATGTGTTCAATTAATTTTTGACAAAGGAGCAAAAATACACAATGAGGAAAGGACAGTCTCTTTAATAAGTAGTGTTGGGAAAACTGGATATCCACATGCAAAAGAATGAAAATGGACCCTATCTTACACCTTACATAAAAATCAGTTCGACATAGATTAGGCTTGAACATAAGACCCAAAACCACAGTAAATGAAAAGATCCTCAACATCACTAATCATCAGAAAAATGCAAATCTAAACCACAATGAGCTATCACCTCACACCTGTCAGAATGCTATTATCAGTAAATCAACACACAACAAGTGTCGACGAGAATGTGGAGAAAAGGGAACCTCGTGCAACTACTATGGAAAACAGTATGGAGGTTCCTCAAAAATTTAAAGATAAAGTTACCATATGACATAGCAACCTAAATGTCCATCTACAGATAAGTGGATTAATATATATATGTATATATTAGTCATATAAAAGAAAGACAACCTGCCATTTGCAACAACATGCACAGAATTTGTGGGCATTATGCAAAGTGAAATAAGTCAGACAGAGAAAAGCAAATACTCTATGGTCTCACTTATATGTAGAATCTTAAAAAAACACACACACAAAAAAACACTCACAGAAAACAGGGAGTGAATTGGTCAATACCAGGGGCAGAGGTTGGGGGAAATGGGTGAAGGTGGTCAAAGGTACAAACTTCTAGTTGTAAGATGACTAAGTTCTGGGGATATAATGTTCAGCATGGTGATTATAGTTAACAATACTGTACTGTATACTTAAAAGTTGTTAAGAGAGTAGATTATAAAAGTTCTTGCCACACACACAAAACAAAAAGGTGATGGTTGTATTAACTAACTTTATTGTGGTAATTATTTTGCAATATGTACAAAAATTAAATCATCATATTGTGCATCTTAAACTTATACAATGTTGTATGTCAACAATATCTCAATAAGACTGGGAAAAAAAGATAAAAGATAACAAATACTGGTGAGTATGTGGGAAAAGAAAACCCTTGCGCATTGTTGGTAGGAATGTAAACTGTTAAAACCACTGTGGAAAAGAGCATGGAGGTTCCTCCAGACATTAAAAATAGAATTACTATATGATCCAGCAATCCCACTTCTGGGTATATATATCCAAAGGAAACAAATTCACTATCTTGAAGAGATACCAGTACTTTTATTCATTGCAGCATTGTTCACAATAACCAAGGTATGGAAACAACCTAAGTGTCCAATAGATGAATGGATAAAGAAAAAGTGATGTACATATAGATATAGATTACAGACATAAATATAGATATAGATACACACACACACAATGGAATATTATTCAGTCTTAAAAAAAGAAAATCCTGGTACTTATGACAACATGGATGAACCTGAAGGACATTATACTAAATAAAATAAATACTGCATGGTATCACTTATATGTGGAATCTTTAAAAAAAAAAAAAAAAA